TAGTCTAAAGAGGAAAGCGTTGTTGGTAGTTTATTCGCATTTCATACTCACCTGAGTTATTGACCTATTTTCAAACAAAAATAATTAAAGTAACACTACATTTTACCAAGATTCACTATGAAAAATACATTTAGTACATGTGATAAGGTTGATGACAGAAGGTAAATCTGGATGTCGAGAAAAAGTTGTTTTTTCCGTTAATTACAGCTTCGAAATCTTGAACTGTTTTGTTTCATTGTTTTAAATTATTTGAACTACTTGAAATCGTTTAAAATAAAATAACATCTTTTATTTGCAATTACTAGCTCTGTTGATTATGAAATGATAATACTCAAATACTTAAACTAATTCTCTCTCTCTCTCCTTCCCGACATTGCATTCCGGAGTGACGCTAGTACATTCCTTTTGGGACCACGAAAGGTAACAAGTACTAAATCCATTTTATTTTCTATTCGGCCAACAATTATCATCGTGGAAATTTCAAATGCTCTGCGAAAAGGGATGAATCTATCTCTTCAAACTTCAAGTATGGATTAACCCTTTCAGACCTGACCACCGCTTTACCGGTGTGAGAGAAAAATGACGTAATGCCCACCCACCGGTTGAACGGTTGGTAAACACTTGTAACTATTTTTATATCTACCGTGAAACATTACATACCAATTATTTGCAAAATTTGACTCCGGAGCTCAGGCAAAAGGTTTAAAATTGTTCTGGAACGCAGGGCTCAGTATGTTAAATAAGAGTGGGGTCTAGGAGAAGAACAATCCTGAGTTTAAAACCATTATAAACGGAATACAATTCCACCGTTTTCCCCAATAAGACATAGCAATTTACTGATATTTAAGAAAATGAATTTGTGGAGAGCCATGATCATCTACGCTTTGAAGGAACGGACGTGGCATTAAAACACGATAAAAAATGTAATTTCTAAGCAAGTTATTTTTAAAATATGGCGCATTGGCAAATTGCTTATAATCTAAGAAGAGTGCCTGGCATCAGCTTGTTACACAGATCAAATTGAAGATGAAAATATCACCTTGGGTGCGGCATAAGTATCTTAACTGTTTTTTGAATTAGGAGACGAGACGTATAAAACGCCGAGTGTCTAGTTTCTGACTCACTACAGCTGTGTTACTTCCAAAACAATAAACTCTTTATGCTTATTGCATACTTACTTATTCCTTAAACTCTCCACTGAATGCTACAAAGTTTCCTCCAAGACGTTGGACCAAACACTGGGTAACGTGTTAAGCATCGATGTACTACTTTTGGTGTAACGTTGAATTTTCATATTTGAGAGATTGAAGGATATGGAATTGGTGCAAGAGTTAGAGGCGCAAAACATTGAAATTGGCGAGCTGAGTTCGAATTCGGCCGAGGTCGTTACATGCACTTTCGCACAGATACTATTAAGAAAAGTATGAGTCCATCTTTTTTCTTCTCCTTCTATGCGTTAAATAACGAATCAGACAGGACTGTCTATCTGTGGTTGGGAACTAGTATAAAATGACGACACTGGTGGGACACTTGAACTACAACTAAGTTCCGATTAGTATAGTTACAGTATACAACACAGACTGGCTCTGTGGATGATCAAGAAACACGAATGGGCATGCTCGAAAAGGAGCAGCCATGTTGAAAATGCAAAATGACACTTATTTTCAGTCTGCCTTCACAGTCGAAACAGCTTTCATGATGAGAGATTGTAACCCTTAAATAAAAACGATAGTAAAATTTTCTTTTTTCTTTATATTCTTTTTAACACAAATTTCAAGTGTTTTGATTTTTTTTCTTCTAATCATGAGCTAGGAAATTTATTTATAATGACGTCATATAGTTTGAAGATGAATTTTGTCTGGTTGTTATTGATTACCATTGTGGTGGGAATCACTACTTTTTCCGCAAAGATGGAAGAGTTTCATTGCTGGTGCATTTTTGTAACAATATCGAACAATATTTGGCGGACTCTTTTTTTTTCCATTCTCATTTTATTAATGATTCTTACGTAGTTTGAGGTGTAGATCAAGAAAAAAACAATTGCAACCCTGTACCGGCAAGATATATGCCTTTAAATCAAAGTCCGAGTGAAAATAATAAAAAAACAATTTATTTTAAAGCAAACTATAATTAATGCATGTATTAACAAAAAGAAATTACACTCATATGTACACAGTTGAAAGGAAAGGAAAATAAACTAAACTTGGATATTAAAAATAACGTTTGTATGGATTGAGTCGCCCGGGAAAATAAAACGTTCCTTAACGAGGACGCCTTCCTCTACGTTCTTATACATCTTGGAGGGGGAAGAGAAAGAAAATCTTTGTCTTTTTAAAGAGCTTAAACAGCGCCACCAAAAGGAGGGTTGATGAAGACAAGTGGGTAAACCATACCATATTTGAATGATTCGTATTTTTATGGTTTATCAACCCTTTTTACGTTATTTAGAGCCGGAGAATATTTTAAGGTTGTAAGAATTTTTTATTTTTTTTTAGATAATAATGGTTTAGTGATACAAGCTTCACTATTATTTGGAGAAGATGTGGATTCATACTTTACTTAAGGATGTTTGCACATGAGTAAAAATAACGAACCCAACGGGAATACACCATATTTAATAATATGTAAAGTATCTGTCTATATTTCTGAGATGAGGTATTATGTACATTATTTATATTATTTGGACAATTGTCTTCATCTTTTTCGCCATATTTATTACAACGTTTTGGCCGTTGTACGCTCCGGTCTTCTTCAGGTGGTTGGAATGTCGAACTTAACCCTTTATTTCGCTCACTGGGGTAGACTGTTCTAGTTCCACGTTTTAATGGATGTCAGTTCTCAGTTATCTCCTGTTAATTTCCCTCTGAAAATTCTCCACTGCCTTAACCGGGTATTGAATTCACACTCTTTGGGTCCTGTCACTGGATCTAACCAACGCCTTTATCCACTGTGCCATCAAGGACACATGGTACAGTGAATAAAGGCATTGGTTAGATCCAGTGACAGGACCCAAACAGTGTGAGTTCAATACCCGGTTAAGGCAGAGGAGAACTTTCAGAACTGGGAAATAGATATGGCGACAGAGATGAGGACAATAGTCCGAATAATGTAAATATGTAAAGTAATTTGTCTTTTAATAAATCACCCATCTTTCCCTATGTAAAGACGGAGACCATTAAATATGTTAATAATAAACCTGGACTCTCAGAATATGTACAGATATCGAATCCAGGAATATTTCTTGTTTTTAGCTTGAGAAAAAAAAATTTCATCTGTTTGCTAAGGGAGAAAACTCGTACTGAAAATCACGACAGAGTGATCAAATTTGAACCTCATATTCAGTTATACAAATATCAATGTTTATTCAAAAGAACAGCAAAAAAATTAATATCTTTTGAGTGCTCAAGACGTAAACAGTGTTAAATTACCTCTGCCATATAAATTTATCACTAGATTGTGTTTCTGTCTTTGCTCAGAGCGCAACTAAAATATCTAAAGGTTCCCGGTTCCAGGGAAGAGCTGCCCGTGGTAATAACTCTATCACTGAACTAAAGAGGGTGGATCTGTAGTAATACCGATGTCAGAGCAACTGATGTTGTGGGTGTGGGGATTTTTGGACATGGACCAGGTGCAAGCTCTCGGGCTCCTCATTTTAAACTGACATTGTGCCCCACCTTGGGGCGGCAAGTAAATACAATCTGCATTCGGATGAACAAACTACATTTTATGTCTCAATTTTGTTTCTGTCACCGGACAGAACACAACAAATAAATGTAAGATGACTAGTCGCCGGGGTTCCAATCCTGCGGTAGAACCTCCCTCATTGCACCAAAGTAGGAAGATAGGTGGTATATCAACGCCATCGCGAAGTTGGTTGAAGGGACTCGGCCTGTGTGGACACGCTTGAAACCTGTCTTGCCATATCCCGTCACCATGGGAGGACGAGTAAATATCAAGTGTAGTATCTGTTCTCATCAGCTTGATATCTGATTGGTCCGTTATCTGGAGACAGCGATATTGGACTGGTTTTCGGAAGCTTCTCGCTATTCTGTCACTGTTTCCGCATAATGTGTTCTGATGAGTTGCATTCCCACAAGCTCTGACCTTTGCAGCTGGGACCCACCATGCCACGTACACAAGGATGAATCATCCTCATTCCCTTCGAATTTCATTTGGAAGAACTAAGTTCTACTCAAACAGCTTCTTCCCAAGAACTTGTGGCAGAACTCCCAACAGGATGCTTTCCCAATCGCTACAATCTTGACTTCTTCAAGTCTAGAGTTAACGGTTATAATTCCTCCATAACCTCATGAACTTCACGTACGCTAATACAACCCCATATAGTAACTACCTTGAGTGGCTCCTGGTTCTTGGATTAGGAGAACATTAGTATAAAAAAACTTCAAAAAGGTTAAGAAGAAGGCCCATAGCAATACTAGAAAGAGCAATAATAGTGAACTTGCGAAACTTATTTTCATGAATAATTGTTTTAATAGAAAGATCTTTTAAAAATCAATCGGCATTGGCTGCTCGGTCTATGAACACTGAGTGTTTCCTTATAAGGAAACGGCTAAAATTACTATATTCGTTAATTTTATCTCATTTGACGAGACTAGCTCAAAATATGACAGTATTGTTTTATTCATTGCCTTGGTAAAAGATATGAAGCCATATTCCCCCCAGCTACAGGGTCTCTTCCCTTGAGTGGCAGCTAGTGCAACGGAAGAAATACTCTGAATTCAAAACCAGTCTGAAGAGATCTTTTGCCTATCTTGCTTTCCTACACAACCACTGGTGCTGGACATGTAGTGACCCTTGTGGTCCTATGGGTTATGGGACTCTTGAATATAACTTTCAGTTGGTTCCTTTTGATGTCATTGCCATATTTCTATACGTCTCTGATGGACGTCGTAACCAAATGGAAAAGACAACGGAAACAAGTTCACGAGAACAGTTATAGTCATATGCCATTCAGCTATTAAAATCAGCTGTTCAGAGCTATGATAACGTACGTTCCTAGGAACAAGGCACTCCAGGCAAAGGAAATGATCAACTTGCCTGGGCTGCGGCTGCTCGTATTATTCGTACCGTTTTAGGAGAATCCCCGAAATCACCACCAAGTTCCAGCTGTTATCTGTCTTCGTAACAGTTTTTAAATAACCTAGCAAGATATGCGAATACAATGGCGGAACATGCATATTTATAAAACTATTAAGATGAATTTTTGTGAAAACATCTCAAATGTCAAAGAAAATGTTACGCTTGTGTTTTCAATCTTCTTAACAACAGATATAAGTTTATGATACTGCGTCGTTTTGATAAATGTGTCCAGTCATGAGCCAAGAATTATCTTGTGCGTGTCTGAGAGACAAACTTTTGAAGAGAGACAGTTGAAGAACTGTAGATTATCATTAATCAACTCTTGATAAACAAAAATTGGCACGTCGTACGCAATCCTTTTCTTACTGTTCAGAGTGTTGGATGAAAGATTTTAAAAGAAAGCAATCTAGATTAAACTTCATACGGCACAAAACCAAAAAATGTTATGAAATTGGAATCGAAAGATTATTTTTTCATAAATCTCCAAAGTGAGAAGAGCTTGGTTACTTTGAAAATCAAATATCAAAATCTTAGATCAACTTTGTTGACAGCGACGCAACAAATTTACCCAAGAGATATAAAAAAAAAAGTGATATTTCACGAGAAATTCTTGGAAGCAAATGATAGCATATTTTGAAACTAACATCTTGCTCTCAAGAAATATATATGCATGTGTTTTTAAAGTCTACAGAACTTTTCCGTTTAATAATCTTTTTTCCCCCTATTTTTTCTTGCTTTCTTGCAAGTTTTTTTTTTTTATATATATATGGGTCTAAGTTGTTGAAATAAGACTCTAGTCCATGGTGTTTTGCCGAGCGCTTTCGGTTATTGTTAAAACATTACGGACTTGTGTCTTATTTCAACAGCTTAGAGCCAAATATTAAAAAAAAAATTGCGAGAAAGCAAGAAAAAAAAAGATTATTAAACGGAAAAGTTTCGTAGTCCTTAACAAAACATGCTTTAATTATGATATGCTGCATATATATATATATATATATATATATATATATATAAAGTGAACATTGAAGTCAACACTCAGAGGCGACAGGCTGTTTCATGCTAGATGCAATTGTCAGGCGGCCTGATGATTGCGTCTAGCATGAAACAGCCTGTCGCCTCTGAGTGTTAACTTCAATGTTTACTTTTATTTATGTAATTTATATTTACATACACCCTATCTCTGATATTGAGTACATTATTCCATAAATATAGCACACCTTAAAACTATATTTCTTTATATAATATATATAATACTTAAATAGATAGGGGTCACGGCCGCATCACATTGAAACACCGGTTCCCGTACGATCACGGTTAAGCAACGTCGTGTTTGGTCAGTACTTAGATGATGGACCGCTTGGGAATGTGTTATACTGGAACATACCTATTCTATTATTAATAGACTCTCCCACCTATAATAAGTAGGAGTAGTAGAAGTCGTCAGTGAGCTCAGTGAGTTGGTTCGAGTTCAGTCTGAAGTCGGACGACTGGCTGACCGGTTGAACTCTCTGCCTTCGGGCTTGGAGTAACCCGAACGAGGCTACGCCGAAGGGCGGAGTCTCTTTCGGGGAGGTAAACTGACCCTGAACCCGTTTATACGGGTTCAAAGGGCATATTTTTGGCCGAGCCCACGGGCTCGGAGATCTCACGTCAAACCGGCCTTGTGTCAGATGATGCCTTCGTGGGGGCAGGGGTGACTAAATACTCTCAGTTAGTTGGTCAGTCAGTCGATGTCGGATATTAAAGTATCAGCCACCACAACTAGATTGCTGCGTCATTAACTATTATATCAAGTTCCTAACGTTTTGTAGGTCGAACCTTTTTAGGACCGACTTAGTGAAATACAAGCCTCCACTTTTCGTACTCTATAACAGAATGCCAGATGGTGTAATGGATAAAAGCTTGTATCACTAAAACCTTTATTATTCCCCAAAAGAAGAAATATGTGCACATAGTATTTAGATTTCGGCATTACATTATAATAACAACCAACTTGTTTACTCGTAACAAAAAATAGATCAAATTCTCTTTTGAAATAATGTTTGTGCATTAGAATTCTTCAAACTTTCCTTAAGCTGCAATGCTTGACATAATAAACAAAATACTGATTTTTTTTTTATATATCGATTTAGAAATGGGGGAACTGTCATAATATCCTTACAGTGACAATTCGATTCTTGACTTCTACAGAGTTATTGGACTTTTTTGGTAGGGTAGTGATTTACAAAAAGGTTTCTTTTAAATAAAATGAAAAAAAAACATACGGATATATACATTTTTATGTAAACAATAAAAATTGTTATCAATTAATAAAAGTATGTATCTGTTTGTTCTTCATTTAAGGTAAGTAATTATATATTTGTACAAATTTTTGAAAAAAATCTCACAGAAAAATGTTCTTAAAACATTAATTTAAAAAGTTAAAACTTAAAAAAGGGGGCCAATAATATTACCATACTTTCGAACTTGACAGTTTTAAATATCAACTAAGTGCAATAACTCTGTATAAGTAAGGGATCGATTTTACACTATATCGATATTACGAACAGAATCCCACTTTCTAAAATGATTAAAAATTCAACATTTTTCTATTCTGACAAGTGTTGTGGCCTAAGTAAGGTCAAAAATATTTTCCCTATTTCTTACGAGTGGACCTGAGTTATGTGACTGATACGATATTTCTGACAAGGAGAAGTTCTGCTTTTGTTTCTGAGTAGATAAGATATTGTTGTAGAGTAGTTTCACAGTAGAGGCTTGTATTTCACTAAGTCGGTCCTAAAAAGGTTCGACGTACAAAACGTTAGGAACTTGATATAATTAGTAATGGCGCAGAGAAAGATATGATATATAATAGTAAGAAAATAGTGGCAATCTTTTTATGGATGGGATCACGAAAAAAACACCCGGATGTAAGGTTGGCATCCCTCATTTTGTATTAGCTACTGAAAGAGCAATCATGACGTCCACTAAGAACTGAGATCAATCTCTCTTAAGCTCACACAAAAGCGATTACAGTTTGCCGGCCACTGCCACCGAACGAACAGGGAAATCGTCTCCTTACTTCTATGGCATCCTTCTGTAGGTGTCTTCTCACGAAAGTTGACTTTCACAGACATCATGGCTCGGGACTCAGGGTTGGATATTGGGGATCTGGAGACGGCAATGCAGGATCGGGCAGTGTGGGAAGGGATTATTAATGGAGTTCCGACCAACCACAGGAAGCTTGACGGATGATAGATCTGGTGAAACATTAGTTGAAGATTCCATGTAACGCTTAACACAATTTACGGAGAACTGAGACTAATCTCTCTTAAGCTCACACAAAAACGATTGCAGTTTGCCGGCCACTGCCACCGAGCGGACCTGGGAGGTCGTCTAATCCTTACTTTTATGGCATCCTTCTGGGGGTGTCTTCCCGCGAAAGTTGACTTTCCCAGACACCATGGCTTGGTACTCAGGGTGGGATATTGGGGATCTGGGGACAGCAAAAAGGACCGAGCAATGTGAAAATGGATTGTTAATGGAAGTCGAATGATGCTGATTATGAAAAGTAAATAGAGACGCTGCAAAAATAAAACATCCTATATACTTTCATGGAAGCTACAACGTTTATACACACACACACACACACACACACACACACACACACACACACACACGTGTGTTTCTAAACATTGTAGCTTCCAAGTTCTTGCGAGTAAGGTGTGTTGTAAAGCAACCCAGTAGGACGAAAAATACGACCTAACAAAGGCCGGAAGAACTCTTTGACGAGTCAACGGGCAGGTGCCACAATAAGTTAATGTAAAGAAGGCAACAGGAAACCACTCTACTATGAATTACAAGAAATATCATAGAATTTAACGCACAAAGAGAGCATTAAAATTTTGTCTCTGTTTGCTGATAGAACGAGACACCGTATAGCCGCTAACAAGTTTGATTATCGTGACTACTGGCAGCTCTGTAATAGTGTGTTAAATAAGATGAAGGCTTCTGTCTATCCTTTCTTCACTCAGTTTGCAGTGCTTTCATCTTCTGCTGATAAAGCAGAATATTTTGCTCGTAAATTCTCTTCAAATTCTACTCTTGATTTATCTAGAATATCTTTGCCTGACTTCTCCACTTAGAAGTGAGTCTCTATTGCGTGATATGCATATTACTCTGTCCATGCTTTCTACTATCATCTCTAAACTGTATCCCCACGAAGTAATTATTTATCTAGCGAGACAAGCCTTCTGACCATGACATCACATCCAAGTGCCCATGTTTGTTGTTGTTGTAACCTAAGGAAGGTTACTGGATAGAATAATCAAACGAAGATTGGTAATGAACGATAATACTTTGGACAATAACAAAATATTCGCCAGCGGTGTGTAGAAGAATTAGTCAACTGCTAGAAGTGAGTCAAGTGAATTTCTTAATGACTCTCCAACTCTAGGATATTTACCAACTGCCCCAACTGAAGAAGGCTGGAGCGTACAATAGCCGAAATGTTGTGAATATGACAATGAAGATGAGGATAACAGTAAGAATAATGTAAATAATGATATCTTATCTCGGAGATATAGACAGATTTTTATCCAGTATCGTTCCTTTTTTATCAGAACGCAAATAACAAAATCTGATAACTCTATGAATCGATTCACAAAACCCTACTATAAAAAGTCAGCTTACGATCTTAAATGTCTCTTAACAAGTTTAATGCAAAATGAAAAATATCACAACACTGTAGTTGTGATATGCGATCTGAGATTTTAAATGTTAACTTCTATGTGCCGTGTCTCTTCAGGACGTGACTTTTAATGACTCTTCCCAACTTCCTGTCTTTGTAGCCTTTAGTAAATTTTTTTTTGCTATATCTCTTAATCCTTGTACTGTTAACCTTTTACACAAGCTCCTTAGTTAGGTTATACGCTGGTTTCCTCTGTTTCACAATATGTCCTGTGAGCGTCAGATTTTCCAAGCCTTCTTTCCTCATTATATACACTAGAAATTTTAATTGTATCTTTCTGATGCTACAAATAATTGCCTCTTTTTGTTTCCGTTTTCTCTAAAACTTCGTGGTTGCTCACATGTTCAGTCCATGGTATTCTCGGCATCCTTCTGTAAAACAATATATCTGTTGAGACAACAAAGTCTCTTCTCTGTCTATGATGAGATGGTCCAGCATTCATTGCCATATAGAAGTATCGATATTATTTAACAGTTCAGGGCTCTTCTTGGTTTTTAACGAATTTTGTTCTGTTTCTTAATACTTTGTTTAACTTTTGGAAGACATATTTCGCTATTCCACTACACCCTCAGAATTTCAGTATCGCATTTTACATCCTCTGTTAAAACACCTCCTAGATATTCAAATTTTTGCACTTGTTTGATTTTTGTTATTTTCAATTTTTAACTACAGTTAAGATAATTCTAATAATATTGATTCTATTTTCATCTTTTCATGCAAAAGAATTTGTCTTTGAATCTAAAATCTTTGAACAGCTTTGACAATGAGGGATGCACTCTTTCATTGCCACTTCACATAAAAGAAAACTTGAATATTCTCACGGACTGAAACTTTGCAGATATATCAATAAACACAAACTGTTATGACTTTATCTTTTTTTGCTATAAACAGCAGAAATGTCAAGTCAGGAGAAACTGAATGTGTGATCATAATTTTTTTTTCTTTTTTGCCTGCCTACATTTTGATTATGCACCGTTAACAACTGAGTGAATCGTTCTGAGAAACACAGACCTCTGGTTATTTTGAATCCATGTCAAGGAAGTTTTTTACGCGTCTTTGAATAGTTATGATACTCGAGTTGAAAGAATTTGGCCTGAATATAATAATATGCCTTTATAAGAATTACACTTTAATTTTTCACCTCACTCAATTTTCATGTTCTTTTTTATTTTCCACTCCTTTCTTTCTTCCCCTTCAGTCTTTCATTTCTTTTTTTCTTCTCTCTTTCCGTCTTTTCTTTTCTCTTTCTGTGTTTTTCATTTCTCTCTTTCTGTAATTTTTCTCTTACCGTCTTTATTTTCCTCTCTTTCCGTCTTTATTTTCCTCTCTTTCCGTCTTTATTTTCCTCTCTTACCGTCTTTATTTTCCTCTCTTTCCGTCTTTATTTTTCTCTCTTTCCGTCTTTATTTTCCTCTCTTTCCGTCTTTATTTTCCTCTCTTTCCGTCTTTATTATTTCTCTCTTTCTGTAATTTTTCTCTTGCCGTCTTTTTTTTCTTTCCTTCCTTTCCTCTCTTTCCTTCCTTTCCTCCTCTCTTTCCGTCTTTATTTTTCTCTCTTTCCGTCTTTATTTTCCTCTCTTTCCGTATTTTTTCTTTCTTTTCTTTCATATTAAGATTTTTTTCTATCAGTCTATTTATCCTTTCTGGATCAGAATATTTCATTTTTTTTGTTTTACCCTTCTTGTTTTCTAATTTTTTTATCTTCTTTCTTTTGTATTTGTCTCTATCTTTTTCTCACTCTTTCACCCTCTCTAGTCTTTTTGTTATTTTTTTAAAAACTTTTTCTCTTCGTTTCGTTACTCATTCATTCTTTCTCCATCTTTTTGGTTAGGGTTTTTTTCTTTCTAGTTTTCTCTTACTCTCATTTCGTCTAGTAATTTATCTCTCTCTCTCTCTCTCTCTCTCCCCGTTTAGTTTTCTCTTTTTCTCTAATCGTCTGTTGAAGGTTTTTTTCTCTCTATTTCTCTTTCTCTTTCTCTCTAGTTTATGCATTTTTCCATCTGTATTCTTTTCTGCTTTTCTTTCTTCTGTATTTTCTGTTTCTCATCTCTTGTTTGTTTTTCTCTTTCTCTCTTTTTCCTACTTCGTTTTCCTTTCCTTACAACTTTCACTTTTTTGTATTTCTCCATTCCTTTTTGTTTCTTTTTCTTTAATTTACGTCTACGTTTCTTTTTTCTTTAAATACTATGCCCACTTTATTCCTCCTCCTTAAACAAAGACTACAGTTTTCAAGCGCCAACTTGACGACCGCCATTTTCTATTCGACGCCATCTTAATCTTTACGCAATTGCAAATAAATATAGCCATTGTCCCGTTTCTAAGAAGGAACCGTCGTTGTCGCAAAGAGACGAATACATCTGCCACTTGCAGATCTATCGTCCCAATGTCGCCAACCCATAAAAGCATATGTGCAGACAGAGGAGGACAATTCTTTTTTCTGAGAGAACCAGTAATTCTCACTGCACAAACTAAAACCCTAACCTTTTGAAGAATAATTTAACCCTGAATCGGCAGAGTGTTATTCAAGCCTTTTGTCACTGAAATACGTGATACTGTAACCGTGAGAAAATACCAAACCGTATAGAATTTACTTAAATTGATTGGATTTGAAAGATTACGGTAGATTAGATGTTTTTCTTTCTATTACTTTGAGATTGTTTATCGTTTGCAGAGGGAAAAGAGTAAATGCATTGCTTCAGTTTAAGAAAATTTACACTTCAAACGTTTATAGGTTTTCTAAACAGAAAGAAAACTGAGTTGTCGTGTTATTAATATTTTGTGAGTATATCTTTTCATCTTAATTCCAGTTGTTTTGTTTGTCACGACAAAAGAAACCGCCATTCTATGGTCATTAGTCAATAGAGCGAGTCATAAAGAAATAAGCCAGTGAGGTGCGATAAATAGCAACTGAAATCAAGATGAATGAAATGCTAGTAAAAAAAAATTAATAATTGACGATGCTTAATCTCATAAAATTGTTACATAGTGTTGATAAAATATTTAAATGTCATTATATTCTCCATATAGTTAATATGTTAAATGTTTACTATTACACCCGTCTTCCTTATTGACATAATGCGCATGATCAATTCCACCCTTACTTAACCGTCATTGGCCAGTTGACTACTTAAAGAGCATAAAATAATCGATCCTAGCGGACGGTGTCATTGGGAAGTACTTGAAACTCATCTTACATGTTGATGCAAGCCTTTTGAAATTGGCACACGAAATTTGATGATGGTTGTGCTTGCACGAATTCAATGATCATCGTAACCGAGGGTATGAATGTATGGGCGTTCATCAAAATGGTGATCATACCAGATTGTGGACTCTCTCCCAGAAATTGTAACTAAGGTTCTCTTAGCATCAGTCAGTCAGTTAAGTGCCATACGGGATACATGCTTGGGCGATCATATATCTTTCGATACATGACTGACGATGCAGATTTTTTTCCTGCAGTAGGTTGCCACTTCTTTCTGCGGTAGACTGGCTGCCAACCAAGGCTACAGAACGCTGCCTGTTTTGCTATTCAACCCATAGCTGGGGGGGGGGAGAAGAGGTGGATTCATATCTTTCCCAAGCGTATTTGTGCGCAAGTGAATATAACGAACTCGGCTCTCAGATTTCTCACTCCGATAGTCATTACACCACAACGCAATCTCTTAACATAATTACAGTATAAACCGCTGGTTGGTTCTGTGAGTGTTGAGCACATACAAACGTGCCTCAGTCGGCGTCTCCAACAGGGATTGATCAGCTTCCCCACTGAAGCAAACTTGGTTACGAGCGGTCAGATTTACTGAGCTTAGACTCGTGTCAGACTAAACCGCACTGATGTATACTGAACATTTTTAAACTGTGGAGACTAACTGATACATTGCAAAGGAATGTTGTCCTCGGTGATAAGCATCAATATATTCCGATATTGTAAGACATATTTGGCCAGTGTCGTAGAAAATAGGTTAATGCTTTGCATAGTAGGGGAAATGATGGTTTAAAATGAAATTTAATTTTATAGGAATTTTAGAGTGGCTCATATGCATATATATATATATATATATATATATATATATATATATATATACTTAAATGGTCATAATATATATATATATATATATATATATACTAAATGGTCATAATATATATATATATATATATATACTTAAATGGTCATATATATATATATATATATATATACTTAAATGGTCATAATATATATATATATATATATATATATATATATATATATATATATATATATATAAATAAATGAATGATCATGAAGTCCTACGAAATTTTGTTTGCGAAATGTTAAGGATTTATCTAAATAGTCAACATTTTTTATTGTGATAAATATCATTGCATGTATTAATTTTAGTTAACAATAATATGATCCTTCATAGTCATAGAATTTTGAGACTGATGATTGTAAATTGTGGACAATATCTCAAACCTTATGACGACTCTGTAAATATTTGGAGCTCCCTCACCGGCGCGTAGAAATATGGTACTCAAAAAATAAATATGTCACTGTTACCTTGCGCATATTTTAGGTTTTAGTTTTAACGAACACGTGCGTTGATAATGAAACAACACAACAAACAGGACAACTGGTATATACTTTACCTTTTAAGTTTCTTTATGTTGCTATTGTGTGACACTGAAGATGGCGTTCAAGCTTGAAACATACTGTCACCACTCTGTATTGAACTCTCAGTGTCTACTCTTATATTTGCACGCGCTCTATACATGATATTGAATACTTTCCCCCATAAACATAGCATACATTAAAAACGATATGGTTTTACTATATTATACCTACCGTCCATTTTCTACTCTAGTATATCTACTATTCATTTTCTGATATTTTCTGTTGGAAGTATGAAATATGTCAGAGTTAGGATTAAAGGCAGTGAACAGTGAATTGGCTCTGTATTAAAATCATTAACAATTTTTTATACAAAAATTATTAAAATAATCTTCAAATAGTTATTTTAATGTTTGTAAAATGATTTAATGCCATTTAAAACAGTAAAGAAGTCATAGTTTTTCCTGAGCATTTTCAAACAATAATGAGTACATCGTCATTTATGGTACGTAGCAAATGCCTCGGTAGATATCATACTATAGTAGCAACAACTATATTTTACACTATTTACATTATTCGGACTATTGTCCTCATCTTTATTGCCATATTTATTACAATGTTCCGGCCGTAGTACGCTCCGGCCTTCTTCAAGTGGTTGGAATGTCGAACTGAACCCTTTATTTCGCTCACTAGTGTAGACTGTTCTATTTCCACGTGCCATGTGTAATGGATGTTAGTTATCTCCTGTTAATTCCCCTCTCCAAGTTCTCCGCTGCCTTAACCGGGTATTGAACTCACACTCTTTTGGGTCCTGTCACTGGATCTAACTAACGCCTTTATCCACTCCACCCACCTCATCTCAGAAATGCAGACAGAAACTAATATAATATATATATATATATATATATATATATATATATATATATATATATATATATATATGGCCTGACGATTGCATATAGCATGAAACAGACTGTCGCCTCTAAGTGTTGACTTCTATGTTCACTTTTATATTTACACACGCTCTATCTCTGATATTGAGCACTTTATCCCATAAATATAGCACACCTTAAGACTATATTTCTTTATATATATATATATATATATATTAACAATTTATTTTAAATATAATTCACAGTTGCTTTATTCTGAAGCATATACTATGCAACTAAGGAAAGGATCGTTCGCATTGGCTCGATGATACCGACTAAGTTTGATTATATATATATATATATATATATATATAATCAACATGAATATGCTTATAAAACGCGTAAATTTCAGGAATGTTATTCCAAAAAAAATTTCGCTTGATGATTGAACAGAGCTTGGTACTTTAATTCAAGTAATTATATTGAAGTTTTCAGCTGTTGTTTTGAAACATGAGAACTCTTATGTAGCGTTGGAATCATATTTTTAAATATATATATATATATATATATTCTGAAGTATCTGCCACATAATTATAATGAACCGTTGCAATATTCGTTCCTTCGAGTTCCATAAATCTGACGTAGTTGCCTTTTGTGACCATTTGGCATATCTATGGCGTCACCCAGTGAGAAGCAAATTTAGTCTCACAGATCATTAGTGATGAGTACTATCTTGGTGAAAGCTGACTTCGTCCAGGAATTATAAAACCGATTAAATCATCGTTTTTTTTTTGTTTTTTTTTTTTTTTTTTTTTGTGTGCACATTTCTGATGACTTGTACAATCACAGTACTTTTCGATACCTTTTATATACCTGTATAATTTGTACTTTAAGTAGGAAAAATAGCTCAAGGAAAAAACGTATTAGAAAAATCAATAATATGCTATCCACCTGATATTCTTATCGTTGTGAGTAAAATCAATTCATCATCTTAAAATTGATCTATCATGTGGTAAGCTTCACCCAACTTAGTTCGAGACGGAACCAAATATTCCATAATTTTTATGCTGAGATGTTTCTATTTTTTTATTAATAAGATAAAAATTTATCCAAAATTGAAAAAAAAAATGTAATACAATGAACTTCTCTTATTCGCGGGTTCACTTTTATCATAAAACCAGAAATAAAGAATTCGTAATTTTACTCCATAATGTTTCCAAATTGTAGCAGTAGTGATTCTGGCAATTTAAATATGTCAAAGACAAGACGTAAAGGCATTCCTTTAAATGAAAATGTGAAAGTTTTCAGCTTAAAAAAAAAAAAAATATCGTATCCTGTAGTTACTAAGACTTCTATTCGTCACATAATTTTTATTGAAGTACATTGTTTCAATCGATCTGTATCCTTGTTAATCGTTTATTATGTTTAATTTATAAATAAAACTTCTTCAGAGGCATATAGGTGGGTGGGGGGAGTGGTGACGTAATATATATTAGGTTATGCAGTTTCAAACATCCACTGAGTGTCGGGGATCTTGAACAATACCTGCCGCGGATAATAGAGACTACTCTGTTATGATTTACACATTCTTTTTAAATTATCATCTTTTTTTATATATATAAACAAATAAAATGTTCAACTGATCTTCTCGATTCAGAGTTTCGCAGATATGGTATCCACTCATCGGTGGGTTCGGTAATAAATTTGTATTTGTCGAAACACAATATTTGTCACTCACACACGCACAAACAT